TATTGCTACTGGAAAAGGCTATTTAAACTATAAAGGCCGTGAAATAGGCGAAAGAAAAACTGGTCCGAATTGTTGTTGCAAGAAGTGTAAGTGTAAGTAAGTATAAGTGTTTTGTTCAAATTAATGAAGGAGATAGGAAATTAATATTGGAAAATTTTAATAAATTGGAAGAAGCCTATGTGCAAAACGTATACTTAGGTGGTTTAATTAAAACTGAGAATGTTGTAAGGGAAAGATCTAAAAGTGGTACGGGGAATAAACGGAGCTGTTCACACAAGTATTATATTAAATTAGGAAATAGAAATATACAAGTTTGCAGAAATGGCTTTGCATCTATCCATGGAATATCCAAAAAGCGTGTAGACAATATTGCTAAAGAGTATCGAGACCCTAATGTAACTATACCAGCTAAGTCTAAGCGTGGGAAACATCAAAATAGACCAAATCGTATTCCAAGTGAATGGGTTTCCAAAGTTGATTCTCATATTAGAAGTTTTCCACGTCGCGAGTCACACTACAGCAGAAATAAAAGCTCTCGTTATTATCTATCTCCAGAGTTGAACATTAAAAGGATGTACGAATTATATTTGAAAAAGCATGAGCCTGGTCTGGAAGCATCTGCTAAGCCTGTAGTATCATTTGATTTTTATTACAGATACTTTAAGCAAAATTTTAAATACAGTTTTGGATCACCTCGCTCAGACACATGCAAGAAATGCGACATGCTGGATAACAAATTAAAAGATAAGACTTTGAATAGCGATGAAACACAACAAATACAGATAGAGAAGAGTCTCCACCAAACCAAGGCCGACACTTTTTTTGTTGATTTAAAAGAGAAGAGTCAACTTGCTGTTTCTAATGAAGAGTGCGAGGTATTAACATTTGATTATCAGCAGAATATACCATTGCCCAAAATTCCAGCAGGTGAAGCATTTTATAAACGTCAACTCTGGGCATATAATTTTTGTATACACTCAGCGAAAACAGGAATGGCTCACTTTTATTTATATGGCGAAACTATAGCTAGAAAATCCCCAAACGAAGTCATATCTTTTATAAATCACTACATAGATAACATATTACCAAGCACAGTTAAAATACTGTATTTATTTTCTGATAACGCAGCCGCACAAAATAAGAACTCTACTTTAGTTCGGTATCTATATATGCTTATGAGGTGTTCACATTTTAAGAAGATTGTTCATCGATTTCCTGAGCCAGGACACAGCTTCTTACTCTGTGATCGGTGTTTCGGAGTTATAGAAAAGTTTAATAGAAGGAAATATTACGTCTTTACTACCTCTGAATATGCCGATTCTATTGTGCAAGCATCTAAAAACTTTAAAGTTGTGAAAGCAGATAAAAATATGATACTTAACTTCAGTCAACATTATGAAAGTCATTTCAAAAAAGTAATAACTAATACCGAGAAGATACGATTCAAAATATCTAAATATCGCGTTTTTAAATACAGTAAAGACCACATTGAAACGATTGCAGTAAGTGTTACAACGGGAATACCAATATTTGATTATTTTCCCGTAATGAGAAATGCTCAAGTCCAGCTATCCATTCTGCCTCAGAAACGGCTGTATGATCATGCATTGCCATTGAAAAAGGCTAAACACAAAGATGTTATGCAGTTGGTAAAGACCTATGTTCCACCAAATAAACTGTATTTCTACATAGCTCTTAAAAGTGAAGCTGTTGGGCCAACGGATGATATTTCTAGCGAAGACGACGATGATCAAGCTGAAGTTGACCTTTAAATTTGCTATTTTTGTTAAATATTCGTTCGTTTTTGTTTTTCTTTTGATTGTTTAATTCTTCACATGCTGATTAATTGTTCTTGAAATAAAAAAATAGCTGTGTTTATGTGTTTTATTATTTATAATACAAAACAGTGTAGCATTGTTTTTAAATCTTGGTGCAAAACGGAGGCAGATCCAAACTTAAAAAATTCGTAGTAATTCTATAACTTACTTAATAGCCTTAAAATCGTGAATATAATGTGTATATATGTTTATATTATATTATGCCATATAACCCTAAGACATAATTATAACAATAAATTTTTAAAAACATTTTTTCTTAATTCCCGATAGTTTTGAAATTTAGACTTGCCTCCCTTTTGCTGCAAGGTCCTCAATTTTAATAATACTTTAGCGATGAAATTTTCAATCGAAAAAATGTGAACGAAGTAGGGTAAACCTACCAGTTGTTGGACACCTGCGAGCTATTGGACATCCCAATTATTTCAGCTGAAAATAAGAATTCTGTATTCAGTAGTTTGCTTAGTTTTGTTGAGATGGTCCCATTGTACTATTAGTATCGATATTGACATAAAAATAATTACCTATCATGTGATAGCTGCAAGAAAAGAATTCACCGACGATGTGTTCCNTAACAATGCGCGATCTTTAGAAATGTTGAAATTTGCAGGTAAATTAGAAATTAATATATAGTCTATAAAACTAATTGAAATTTTAATAATACTTTACCGATGAAATTTTCAATCGAAAAAATGTGAACGAAGTAGTATACGAATCGGCATCATACATTCAAACTAAACGAGGACGTCTATGCTGGGGATGTTGTGATATGTTCGAGTCGGAGATTCGATCGGACTATTTTAAAGATAAAGAAGGATTTCAGGGAAATTCAAAGAGCTTTATATGGTGGGATGATGATGATATCAATAAGAACCAGTTCATAGATTTAGTGGAAAGCGAGTATAGTGGTGTGCTTTTTGTCTGGTACGTCCACATTTTAAAATAAATTTAAGAGTAATAAATAATATAAATTTTTTTTAATTTAAGCAATAGTTTGATGTTTCTAAAAAGCTAATTAAATATTAACTTTAAAGTTATATGTAGGGGATGGAAATTTGACAAATAAAACAAATTAAATTCAGGTCACCAATTTAATCTAAATTTAAAAAAAACATCGTTGAAATGGCATTTGGGATTTAGGCTACACATATAGATTTAAAGTGTCAGAGCTCATTTACTGACGTTAACATTCTAATCGGGTTTAAAGGTTACAACCAATACGTGCATAAGGAACGTAGGGTCAATGTGCGGTAGTACATTCAAAAATGGAATTTCAGCTCACGCTTACTATCGCTATATTAATGGACGTAATGTTGAAATCCACATAAATGCAGATTTAGAGTTTGATTTATCCAACTCTACAGTAGATGGGAAATATAACCTATTTTTGGTAATGGTGCATGAAATTGGTCATTTCTTAGGTTTAACGCATCGAGTTGAACTCGATTCCATCATGCATCCCAACTATGGTCACATGAGAATTGAGGATTTTAAGTTGAATAGCAGAGATATTGCGGCAATTCAAGCTATATATGGTAGACCCAAATTGTATACATCATCGACTGTTTCAAGTCACGTTACGTCATCATACAGGAGCACGACAAGTCAGCCTACGACGAAGCCTGCCGTTCAACCCTCAATATTTAGAGACGTTTGTAAGGTAGATTCAAAGTTTTCGGGTTTTTATTCACTATCAAACCATGTACGTGTTTTACAAACAATGGGTTTGGCTAATGGATTTAAAGTCTAAACGACCTAAACAATCCAATCCTATAGACATAAATGATTGGCTGCCGCCTTTGAGGAATGTTTTTTGTGCTGTAGACTATAGCTATAAAGTGTCTATCACACCTATAGGCGACCTTATACTTACATATAATGGAAAATTCAATATATAGAATTGATTTTAAGAGTATGAATGTGCGGTCTGTGTGACCATTTACTTCTTCCGAGTTAGGGTTTAACAATTTTACTCTAGTTAACGGGATAGTTACAAGCAATTACGGCTCGCCTTACATATTTTTCGATGATATGTACGCAATTCAAGTGGATTTTAATTACTTTAGAAAGGAGAGAGTTATAGTTTCGATGGGTGAACTTTTTCCGGGAATTTCGACTTCTTTAAATGGGATTTACAAAGGTTCCGACGGCATATTTAATTTCTTTGTTGGCGATCGAATCCTCCAATACGACGAATATTTAACCCTGCAGTGGTGACGTGACATTTTGGAACACCAATGGTGACGTCGGTCTCTTAGATTGACTTCGAAAACGGCCAAAATGCCCATTTTTTCAGGTAACATTAAAAACAATAATCAGCCATGAAACAATATCAACATTTTATTTACTAACTTTCAATAAAAAAATGAAATGGGAATAGTTATACAATGAAAATAATACTAACATTATGTTTATCTTACAAAATAAGTCTCTCTTTTCTCTACAAAAATAAATGTTAATTGAAATCTTCTTTGAAACAGTCCTCGCATATTACAATAGTATGTTCAAGACACACATATCTTTTGCACCTCTTGCAGTGATATCGGGTTTTCCTATTCTTTTTTGAACTACAGTAAACACAACGACCAGATTGTGTGTTTTCCATATTTGTTTCTGTATGGGAATTGTATCGCCCTATATGGCAAATTTCATAAATTCTTACACGCGTTGTTCGTGGTATTTTGACAATTATGCACGGGCTTTCAGATGATTCTCCAACAGCGAAAATGATAGCTTTTCAAGAAAATGTCTGCGCAAAGTTTTATCACCGGAATTATTAGTATGAAAAATAATTTCAGCATTATCGCAGATATATTGAGCAGACTGTAGAAAATAACTAACTGCCATCGCCTCGAATTACGTGCGCAGTTATAGTTAGCGCAGAGCTGATCCACAGTGTCGACTCCGCCTTTGGTACTATTGTAATCGGTGATAATTATTGGTTTTCCAGTAGCATCGTCAATGGAGTCATCATCATGCATTGTTGAGATAAGCAGGACATTTTTTTTTATTTGGAATGTAGGATGTAAGAGTACAGTTCTTTCTAAACCCAAACAAACTTGAATCAACCGGACGATTTTTAGTGTTGGTAAATTCTGCTGGTAGACATCGTTTATTTTTACGAATAGTGCCTACAAAGATTATTTTCTTCTTTAGCAGGGATTCAGCTAGTTCCAAACTAGTGAACCAATTATCGGTAGTCAAGTTTCTACCTGTTCCCTGTATAGCTGTGCATAATCTTTCAACAACCGATAATGCGCTGTTATTACTTGAATATGGACCTTCTGGTTGCTTTCCGACATATACCTCTAAATTAGCGGTGTAGTACATTCTAGCATCGCAAAGAGCGAAAATTTTTATGCCATATTTGTTCGGCTTGCTTGGAATGTATTGCCGAAAACTACAACAAACAGGAAACAAAAAGACTAAAAACTAAATTAAATGAATTCACATAACTTGATATCTTAGACGAAATGTATAGAGGGGAAGGTGGAGGAGGAGAGAAGAAGATCGATTATGTTTTCCTCAACTATAATCATTCATGAATAAATTTAATCGAATTAATAGAAATCGAGTCTCCTAATTAGGAATAAGTCTGTAGAGATAGTCTAAGATTTTTGAAATGTATTAAAAAAATAGAAGTGATTGTATCTCCTATACTAAATCATCGTTTAAAAAATTATGGCATCGCGAAATTCGATTAAAGTTATCGATATGCAAGGCTTTACACTCTCTTTAGGATTTCGAGTAAAAGAACTAGCCATCAGCGATGGTGCGTCGATTTCGCATTTCCTTTTTCAACGCGACCACGGTAAAGAAAGACTAAATAAACAAGAACGTAGGCAAGTTGTTTGGAAAATAATTTACATCATTTAAATTATGAGAGTGGTGATGTTTTAAAAATTTAGTATTTAAAATTTTCAATTACACAATTACTTGTAGATTTATAATGATGTCTACAAGCATTTAAACTAATTGAGAGTAGAGGACAATACAAATTATGTTGTAGATTAATGATAATCGGTTTTTCTCAAGGTAGTAGATTTTTTAGTAGCGTTTCCTTTTGGGAACCTTTCACAAACACCACCTCCACCCCGCATGTATGTTCGAGTAGAATTTCTTTTAGTCATTTGTAGGGTATAGAAAAAATAGGAAATAGTTTATAAAAAAAATTAAGGTTCTTTGTAGTGAATTAACGTAATTAAAACAATAAAAACAAAAAATTACGTACTAAATTTTTTTTTATTTTTCCTCTACTTTCTTAATTCCTCTACAATTTTATAAAGTATTTTTGTAATATTTTCGAGGTTTTGATTAATTCTTTGACTTTGACAGTACCTGGTGGATTCCTGGAAAGGTCTCAGTCTCATCTTTTCAGGGGCCCGTTCTAAATTGGTTGGTATAAAGTGTGATTTTGGTGTTGTAAACGTTATATCCCTCATCCTCATCACCAACTCCGTCACCACTTATCTCACTCGACGATTTTGTTGATGGGGGAGAAGGGGATGGGGGCCTGAGGATAGCATATCGTCCTCATTCCGCTATGAAAAAGAACAAAAAATAATAATAATAAAATAATAGTTATTTTTGATGCAAGATAGCGAAATGACACTTCTCGATTCGAGAACGAAAGTTTTTTGAGAGTTTTAGAGAGCAAAAAAATCGTTCGAGAATGCAAAATAATTTCGCTTTTATGTATCAAACAACATTTTTCGAAAACTGCGTGTTCTAAAGTTTATAAATTAATAAAACAAACAAATTCAATATAGTGATATTTAGAATTCATTAATTTTATATCAAAAACACATATTAAACAAATGTACTATTATAAATATGCATTTAAACGTGATATGAAATGATAAAACAATTAATTCTATCAAATTCTTTGGTTCTCGTAGCTGAACGTAAAAGACTTTTACGTCCTGTTAGCGAAAAACTATCGTTTTGAGGATCGCTAAGTATTACGCAAAAGTCATTACGCAATAGCAGTTTTCGGAAAAATAAATAATACAAATAAAATAATAGTACTGTAAAGCAAAAGAAAAATAAGGACTTACAATTATCCTCCTTCTCCTCCATCTCCCCCATTTTTTGTACCTAAAAGGTGATGTTGGTCTATTTGAAATACATTGCGATGATGAGGGGTTTGCTATGTTTACGAAGGAGGTATTACTCGTCTTGATTATTGTAACATCATCATCCCATTCCGCTATGAAAAAAGCAACAAAAATAATGGTAATAAAATAAAATAAATAGTGATATTGAGAAGCAAAAGAAAAACAAGAACTCACAATCATATACCTCCATCCTACTGATGATTTGTTTTTCTTCTTTTTTAGTCTCCTCCGGTTCACTCTTCTGAGATTCTAATTTACAAAAATATAATTTATAAATAAATAATGATAAAAAATGAACTCACCATCTTTCACTTCGCATCAAATTTAAATTTCCTGATGGTCGTTGTCCCATCAGGATTTTCTTTGATGATGCAGACAAATTCATTACACTCGGACATTTTTTTTTTTCACTTTTTCAACGTCCTCAATAAACTTTCACAATGAAGTATGAGGAGAGAAGAAAAATCTAGTCAATTTATAATGCTCTTTATCTATGTTTTACGCAAGAAAAAGGAAAATTTTTGATGTATTGGTTAGGGTTGCGGTGCAACGGTTTTTTCTAAACGATAGATACTTCCTATTTTGTGATGTTTCGCGAATTTACGAAATCTTTACAAATCTCGAATAATTGCGTAAGAGGAAAATTTGTTGAAAATTGTAGTTTTGTTGTCGAGCTGTTAACTGTCCACAATCACGGAAAGGTGTCATTAAATTAGGAAGACATGGATATCCAGTGTCGCCTAGTATATAAAAGTTTCCGCATATTTCCGCTAAGTTGTCTGATAGTGGAGAAGTACGAAAAACCCTACTGTCATGGACAGAGCCTGGATATCCTACAAAGATATCCCTAATTCTTCTTTGATGGTCACATACAACTTGCGCCTATTAAACCATAATAATAGTTACCAATTATTCGTTTAAAAAAATAAATGTCATACCTGAATAGAAAAATAATGCTTTCGATTGAGATAAGAGTTGAGATAAGAGATCATTTGATGTCTTATTTATACGTATATATGTTCCATCTATAACACCAATAACTCCAGGAAAGTTTTTTGATTGAAAGTAGTTTTCTATTATTGTTTGTTCTTGTTCATTTGGCCTGTTATAACCCCTGTATTTCTCCTTTATATTTTATATTATTTTCTCACGTAGATAATGTAAGAATGTGCTAAGGTATTAGTATAAAACAAAGAAAGCTTGTGACAAAGTCACTCGGGTCGGACTGTACGTGACCATTGAAGAAGAAGGTAAGTAATAAAACTGTGTAAGCGTACCGAGAGCATAAATAAAGAGCGAGCGCTAGTGTCGAGGACATTCTTTTGTTTCTCGTCTTGATCGTCGTGAAATAAGAAAAGCCACATCAACGTGTTAATTAATTAGTGAATAAGTTGTACTTTATCATCGTTCTTTAATCATCTTCCGATCATCCGTCGTCCGTCTTCATATGATTTTAATCACATCGTCCGCCGTCCGTAAAATCGTCGTCTGTGTCATCGTTGTTCATTATAATTACTAATAAAATACAAGAAAATGTCACTCTGAGTTTTATTTGCGGACACCAACTCAAGAACCCATTCTGTGCTGGATAGGAGCACAACAGGCCATTCTATAATTTGGTTGGACAAGTTACTTAAAAAGTACGTCATTCTACGAATTATCTAATGTAGTTAGTTAAGTACGCTACATAAGCAATATCAAAACGATCACTAACATCTCGAAATGACGCTGTTTGATGCCCAGCGAACCACAAAAATATTACAACAATTTGTAAGGCGTCTATTTTTCCATATTCCCCTGCCTGATGGTGGTAATGACCACTGTTTTTATATTGTTCACTCAAATTGTTTGCAATATCACGACTAACTCGAAAGTGTTCACGAAATTCGGTATCATTGTATAGCGCAATTGTTTCAAAATAATTTTCGTTCTTCGGCTTTTTTCTATTAGGTTGCAAGAAATAATTCTTCGTCGCTACTACTTGAAAATTGTTTAAAGTCATTTTCATCTGATGAAGTGGAACTGCTACTATCACTAAAACTCATCTGAAAGAAAACATTTTGTAATAATTAGTAAAAATAAATTATAATAGATGCTATACTTACATTTTCGTGTAGTAAAAAACAATTTTTATACTTTATAAATGAAACACAACCAGAAGGAAGGACACCATTACACGTTAAGGACAGGAATAACAGAAAGGAAAAATTAGCAGCGCCGGGACTCGAACCCAGGTCTCCCGTTTGCCGGACGGTTGCACTGACCTCTATGCTACGCCACAAGGTGTAGGGAAATTAACAGACAAGGATTCCTTTCAACCTGTACATTTCTGGACCGCATTAATGTCATTCACATGCACAATTAAAGGACCAACGTCACAAGATTTTAATTCCGGAAAAGCCGGTGAAGCCAAATTATTTAAACAATAAGTGGAATTAATATAAACGTGTATGTAACATATAAATGAAACACAACCAGAAGGAAGGACACCTTTACACGTTAAGGACAGGAATAACTGAAAGGAAAAATTAGCAGCGCCGGGACTCGAACCCAGGTCTCCCGTTTGCCGGACGGTTGCACTGACCTCTATGCTACGCCACAAGGTGTAGGGAAATTAACAGACAAGGATTCCTTTCAACCTGTACATTTCTGGACCGCATTAATGTCATTCACATGCACAATTAAAGGNAGAAATTCTTTTCAAGCTTATGAGGATAGATTGGACCACCAACTTGCCTTGCAGTTAATGGCGAACATTTTGAACAGTTATTGCCATGAAAACCATTTTATTGCTAATTTCGTTTAGTCTTATAGTCTTACAGGTTTATTTTGTAATTGTCGTTACTTCACGACTCTAATCTCTAACGACTTTTTGTAAAAACCGTATTTTGTAAGTCGGTCGTTAGGAAGTTAATCTGTAACGACAAAAATAAATGTTTTCATATCGAATACTACACATTTGAACTAATGTTGGTCCGTTCGAATTAACAACATAAGCTCAATCAACCTAAAATCAACAACTCAACACGTGTGTTTTCGAAAATATCAGAATATAGTATTATAATTATAATAAAATGTAAAGAATGGAAAAAAAATCTCAAAATATTGTAATAAAACAAAATATGTTTGTTATTAAAAAAATATATTTTAGATTAGAAACACCAGCAAAAAGACGTAGAGTGAGAGCCACTCAAAACCAATACGAACTATACATCAATATGTTGGAAACAAATAAATATTTTAGAGAGAACAAAGTTACTCCTGATCATCCAAATGAACTCACCAAATGTTGGGAGGACTTAGTTGATAATTTAAATTGTAGTGGCGGGCCTCAGAAATCCTTAACCTTCCGTTGGTCGCGCTCAAATTTTTAACACAAGTAGTCGCGCCGGTCTTACAGACCGTGTTGCTTTAAATGTGGGATTAACAAAAAAACTGTATTTTTTTTGGGGGGATCTATAAAAACATGTTATATTTGAATATTTTTATATAATGTAACAAATGAAAATCTTAATTATATAAAAAAAACATTGCAGTAAGTCCATAGTTCAGTAAGTAACATAAAATAAAATTACTCCCAGTTACATCCAAAACAAACTATGAAATTTGTCTACAAAAAAAAACTACTTAAACACTTAGATATAAGGCAATGGAACCATTAGTTAAACTATATTCTCGCGGCACGTTTGACAAATAACCACAATGTGTTCTAAACACATGTATTTACTGCATTTAAAACAACTATACTTGGTTTTGCGGTTTTTTCTCCAGTCGCAATAAGCGCACCGACCTGGTCTACCATGTTCTACTGGTAGGTCTGCTGGTGGGTCGGCAAAATCAAGCAACCGGGCCCTTAAACTTTCAAATGTGGGCGAATAAGTTCCTCAGACAACTTTTTCAAAAACATTCTTCTGGCATATTTGTTGTCTGGATTATTGGAGAAGTAAACTACTTGCGAGTTAATCCCAGCGATGTTTAGAATCTGATAAAATAAGATTAGTGGCCACCTCCTAGTAGTCCTTGAACAGTTATAGGTCGCGATAAGTTTGTCCACATCAACTCCCCCTTTGGTTGAATTATACATGGTGATAATGACTGGTTTCTTTAGGTCCCCAGTAGATTCATCTATATCATCATGATGATGCATAGTAGAGAGCATAATAACGTTCTTGTTTCTTTTAGGTATATATGAGACGATGGTGCACTCTTCAGTAAAAGCAAACATACTAGTATGTTCGGGTCTTTTTACAGGTTTTGAAAACTGAGGGGGTAATTCCCTTTTGTTTTTTCTAAGGGTTCCAGTAGAAGTCATTTTGTAGTCTCTAAGTAATTTTTGAGCTAGAGGTAACGATGCAAACTAATTATCCATGGTTAAGTTTCGATTCGAGCCTGAAATGTGTTGACAAAGTCTAAGCACTATATCTTCTGGCTTGTTAGACATCTGATACGGCCCTTCTGGCTGCTTTCCAACATAAACCTCGAGTATTGAGGTTTAAAACATTTTGGCATCACATAAGGCGAATAATTTGATGCCATACTTATTGGGTTTTGATGGAATATATTTCCTGAAGCTACATCGTCCTCTAAAACCAGGCAACATTTCATCGATCGTAACGTATTCAGACATGTGATATCCCTTTTGACAGTTCGCGAGAAACATGTCAAACACATCACGGATTGGAGCGACTTTGTCAGTCTTCCTCTGTTCTTCACGTGTATTTTTGTCGTCGAATCTGAGACTTCGTAAAAGGAATCGAAACCTTTGCACAGACATTCCAAGATGAAACATTTCCACGCCATAGCCATTTCTGTCCCATAAATCAGCGGTATTTGTTTTGTTTGAACCTGTAATTCCAGCCAAGTATAACAAGCCAAATAATGGGCGTATTTCTACGGAATTAGTAGGAAGCGCATCTCTACCTCTGGAATAGTGTGACTTGATCGACTCAATATGTGAGTTCGTTGAATCTACAATAATTTGAACTATTTCGTCATTTATGAAGTAGTTAAAAATATCAGAAAGTTCTTTTAGAGATTTAGTTGCTGAAGTGCATCCGGGTAATTTTCTTATTATGTTCTCTTTCCTTGTTCGCACTGTTTTACGGACTGGCGGATGTTTCTTCCATACTGATCCATCATTACCTAAAAACCAAAAAATTAAAATGTAGAGGAAATTCAGCATTGATATTATTTCAAAATAATACCTTTGAAGTATGGTAAGGATTCATTACATTCTGCTTCGTCTTCTTTGTGTCGACCGTAATTTTATAATTTTTGTTTACATTGATGAGATTTGTAAGGCTTAATAAAGGAGAGGGAACACATTTACTTCTATCATTTAACCTTCACCATCCACTGCGGGAGGGCGTCGGGTTGGCACCCAGCGTGGTCGTGGCAGGTCTCAGCGGTGAGTTTACGGCTAGTGTCCAATTGTGGACCAGGAATCTGCTTCCCCTGA